AAGCCTCGAGTCTTCTACTGTGCAGATGTACCATAGTTTATTCAACGAGTGCCCTTATTGATGGATGTTTGGGTTATTTGTGGTGTTTTGCTATTACAAGTAGTGTTGCTATTAATATTTTTAAACATACATGAAATTCTTTTTTTACTAGGTATTTTGACCAACGTGATTTAGCTGATGAACCATCTTGATGTAGCTGGCCTCTCAGGGATAGAAGATACTTGTGATGAAGGCAGCCTGAGTCTGAGGATGTACAGGGGCAACTCAAGTGAGAATTGAATTACATCTTCAACATTATTTGAAGGGTCTTCATCTTAACCTGTGCATCTCAAGTTGACATTTAGAAGATAAATTGTATTGATTTGAGTATCTGAAGTATTCTTTGGAAAATCCCAACCAGCCAGTTTTTGATGAACAGTTAAAACAGTTTTCTGTAATTACATGTTTTTAAAACAAATTGAGTGCCATTTATTGATGAAGCATCCTGTACAGAAACTGTATGGTGAAATTTTACAGAGATCCTTGGTGCTTTTTCATTGTTTCTTGTACATATACACATAAACTCTTACTGAAAATGTGTTTTGGTTATTAAAATCTTGTTTGACTCTTTTTTTTAAGATTTTATTTATTTTTAGAGAGAGAGCACAAGCAGGGGGAGCGGCAGAGGGAGTGGGAGAAGGCGACTCTCCACTGAGCAGGGAGCCTGATGCGGGGCTCGATCCCAGGACCTTGGGACCATGACCTGAGCCATAGGCAGTCACTTAACTGACTGAGCCACCCAGGTGCCCCTTCTTTGACTCTTGAACAAAACAAAAGACAATGGATAAATGTCCTTAGTATTAGAATTAAGATAATTGGTTAAATGGCAAATGTTTTCATAGTCAGCAACAAAACTAATCAAATGTTTTCCCTTTAAGCTCAATACTTTTCAACTGCTTTATTACATAAAACTTTCTTAAATCATTTTGTATAATACCCTAATAAGTCATCTGTTTTGTCTGTCAGATCTCTTGCTCATATCACTTAAAATTTATCTATTTCTTTATCAGGTAGGAATGTTTTCTACTTTAACAGAAGATCCCAGTAGCAGTGGTTTTTCAGTAGGGATTTATTTTTCTCACACAACCAGAAGTCAAGAGGAGCTGGCTACTGGCATTGGGTCGATGACTCCACAATACCAATGTATCTGAGAGTCTTGTGGCCTTTCCCTTAAGGGTAACAAGATGGCCACTGCAGTTCAAGGCAATGTGTCTGTATTCAAGACTGAAAAAGGTGGAAGGACTCAGAGCCTTCCATATCTGATTCTTTTATCGTAAAAGGAAAACTCCCCAGAAATTCACAGCAGATAATGTGTTCATTTGTTGGCCACAAGTGTACAACATAATCACCTCTAGCTCTGAGGAAGGTGGAGAAATGAAATTGTAAGCCTTTCCAGTCTTTCCAGTAGGAGGAAGAAAAGGAAAAGGGGGGGAGGTGGAGAGAAAAGGGAATTGGAAATATCTGCGTATCTGGGGCACCTGAGTGGTTCATTCAGTTGGCATCTGCCTTTGGCTCAGGTCATGATCCCCAGGTCCTGGGACTGACAAGAAGTCTGCTGCTCC